GAGTGTAGTATGTGATATTATATTTCTGTCATTGATTTAATGTAAGTTATACATGATATTTTAGATATTTTTCATGCATGAGTCTATTGCTTGGCTGCCCTATGACTCGATTGACTAGGCCAGCATGACCGGCTCGATAAGGACGGTTCAGTCGGTAGGCCAGACTTGATTAGCTTTGGGTTGGCGTGATTGACTCAGTCTGCTCATAGATCTTTTTTATAAGGATAAAATGACTTCAAGTCATCTCGGCTCCACGTTCGAGGGACTCTTTTTCCTCTATTGGTTTTGAGTTTGTAAGCTTTGGGGGCAATCCACTTATTGATGATAAATAACTTGGTCCACATCTAATCGAGCTTTCCTAAGGCTTATCCTCGTGCGGCTGGGTCAATTTTTTTCAGCACAAGGTCTCTAACGGTAAAAGTCTTCTCTCGGACATGCTTGTTATTGTCACACTTCTGTTTCAGAAAGTGATACACTGATGTAATGTAGGGCATGATGAAATGAAATAAATCTATGTTGTATTCTCAAATAAATACCTACATGCAAATAAAAAAAGAAACTTAAATTTTATTCCATAATGTATAATCCACTGATACAATTGAAAAATAGAAAACAGAAAATTGACCGAATAAAACTAAAATAACAATATGTAATAACTACCTAGACCCAAAAGAAAAATAGCTAAAGCAAACACAGGGAAGAAAAATACCACACCGGGAAAACTAAAACTGAAAAAGCTTGCTCTGATGGAGAAGGTCCTACTAATGGCTGAATAGAACATGTTATGCAAAAATATCATAGTGATGTTTGACCAATAAAGCCAATGAATAATAATTATCTATTAAAGTATAAAAGACAAATGAACTGGGGTATGCAGAATACACAACAACTAAGAAAGATCACTATGAGTATATATATAACATTCGAAGAAAACAAAAAAGTGGTAGACATCAAGTATGCATAACAAAAGAAGACATGCAATCATTTACAATCAAACTTCTTATTATTCAGTTTTTGTCCATTTATTATTTACATAGTAGTTTTTAATAGACACCGTGAAACCGTGAATGTCAACATCAACCTAAGAAAACAAGAAGATTTCATACAGATTCGTCACTATATGAGCTCATCAGACCGGCTTACCAAAATCCAAAAGGTTTCCACTGACCAACATGTCATCACACACAAGCATGTCAAATTATTTTCATATGTATAATATGAAAATAGTATGCAATTTCACATAAGCTTGTTTTATGACAGGAATCCACATGCATGTTCAAAAAGTAAAGTGCAAGAAAAGAAAAACAATATAATTACATGATTACTTAAATATACAGAAAATTTACATTAGTAAATTAAGGCAGTTAGTGCTTCCTTGATAAGCAATAATTGAAGTTTGTGACAAGTACACAATTAAAATAGCAAGGGCTTGGCCAGTAATCCTATATAATAATTATAAATCTACTACAATTAACAATGATTAATGCCATAACTAAAAAGGTTATGTATATCCTCTAATAAGAAGCACTTACATATCTTAAGACGACAAATGCGATACTTCTATGAATTTGACGATTTGACTATTAATTCTACACCAATTAGAAAATACAATATAAATGATTAAGTAATTAAACTTATTTATTCTTTACATTAGGTATATTCTAATAGACCTACAAAATCTTAATATATGCATGTATATATAATATATTATTATTATTATATTCTTAATTGGAGAAAAGTATAAAATTAATTATTTTTAGTTTATATAATTAAAATACTATTTTATTTTTATTTTATTTTGATATGAAGAAAATTATAATGCGCGAATAAACATTTGAGGATTACATGTGTAACACCTAAATAGAAAAATAGAAAAACTTTAGCTTAAATCCTGTTTCTCCTCTAGTTTACCTTAACCTAATATTAATCAAATCCCATGAAAGATGAATTTATGGGATTCAGAAGCGGTGATGCACGTGATAGGAAAAAAAGTGAGGGTTTCCTTCCTCGATGATTTCAAGTAAGAGCAAAGAGGAGGAAGTGCACGTTGCGATCCCATCATTGCCGTCACTGCTAGCTCCGACTGCTATTGTGTCGTAGTGTTTGATCGCAAGTGGTTTGGGCAAAATCGAGAGAGATAGAGAGGGGAGATCAAGAGGAAGAGGGATGGTTTTTTTTTTTGTTTTTTGTTTTAGGACCACCATATATCACGAAAGATTCACATATAAGAAATTGAATACAACATTCGAAGAATAATACACTATCTTGAAAGATAGAGACATTATCTTCTAATGGATTCAATCATAAGAGAAATTTTCGGTGTATATGGAATCGGGGTTCTTCCCTTACTTTACGAGTGTATGATAAGGTTTATTTTAATTCTAAGATCATGTTTTCTATAAGGGAAAACCCTCGTAGTTGATTACATATTTAGAGTAGTAAGCCTTAAAGAAAACCTCTCGGTTAATATGATAAGTTGAATTGCCAAAAATCGGGTTCTCATAATTGGAGTGCGGGTAGTCCAAATTGAAAGAATTAAGTTTGAAAGGATAGGACTTACAATCTCATGACTAAATGTCATGGGAAAGGCCCAAGGCATAAGAAAAATTTGAAAATATTTAATGAATTTAGGTTGATTGGATGAAGTCAAAAGATAGATTTGGGATATTGTATTTGATTTACAGGAGTGATTAGAAACCCTAAGCTAAGGGTAGAGTCAGGTAGGAAAAGATTCGTAGATAAAAAAAATGAAACCTTAAACTCTATAAGAAATTCTATAGGTGGGATAACCAATATTTTAAGAATAACATCCCCGTTCAAGATGCCTATGACTTTCCGACGACCTAAAAATATTGAGATTTGTCAACTATGACCAGCCTCATAACCAATAATCCCCCTTAAATGCCGAAGCATGGAGGATTCATAATTTCAAAGCAGTCTTAAATTCCTTCATTAGTAAACATGTGTTACTTCATTCTAAAGTATTCCCTCTAGTCTCAGGAGGTATATTTGCTATTTTGCACGTCAAAGTCATTAGCACTAACTAGTTACCTGAACTAACTTAGGCTTCTATACTCAGACTAACCTCGTGTAAGTGTATGTCCCTCGGTTCGGTGTCTAAGCTAGCTAACCTAATGCCATGTTGGATCTACATAGGTTTAGGGTTTGGGTCAGACTTGAGTTGAGCTAGGTCTAGTGCTTGGGTTAGGGTTTGAGCTAGACTTGTGTTAGGTTAGGTCTAGTGTTTCAATTAGGATTTGAGCTAGACTTGAGTTGGTTTTGATTTGGCTAAGTGAATTTGAGTTAGGTTTGGCTAAGTGAGTTTTGGTTAGGTTTGGCTAAGTGAGTTCGAGTTAGGCTAGGTTCGGATCGATCTGAGTTGAACCCAAACTCAAGCCCAATCCAAGCATATTGAGTTGACTTAGCCTGACTAGACTTACAAAAATAAATTCTTAAATTAAACAGAAGGAGAGAAGTTTAGCGTAGAGGAGGAGGATAGCACTGTATTAGCATTAAACGAAGTATTATTTAAAACTCAAAAAAAGCTTAAATTTAATAGAAAACAATCAAATAAACTTAAATAACTTATAACTCTATTTTTGAATGTGTAGTTATAAAAAAGTTATTAATTATCTATGTGTAAATTTTTTTGAGATTTTATATGGGCTGAAAAAAATAAATATTTTTATATAATTTATGATATAATTATCATTATATAGTTATTAATTTGAATTTTTTATTATTTAAACTCCTTCACAATCTTAGTATAAATTAAATGCACTCTCATAATCACATTTATTTTGTAGAACTATTTGGCTGTTTAGTTTTGAAAAGCAGCAATGAATGTCTTAAAAAAAAACTTGGCAGATTTACATGCATATTAGTGTACCACTAAATTCATATTTATTTTAATATTTACATGTCTAATACCTAAACTTCAATTTGACATATATGTCATAGTGTATCCTTAACTTTTTTTTTTTAAGTTCAAATAATAAAAGGATGGCACAAACATAAAAAAAATAAAATTTAGGTGTTAGATATGTAAATACGTAGGGGTATTTATGTAAATACCCCAAAAAATTATTCCATGGCATCTCGGCGTAGAGGGTAGTAGGGTTTGCGTTGGTCCACTCTCCCACCTTCATAGTAGGGTTTGCGTTGGTCCACTCTCCCACCTTCATTATTCATCTGATCGTCTGTATTGATTGAGCAGAGATGCGACTTACGCTTGAGTTTGGGTAGTAATTTTTTGCGAACTTCTTATTTTTTTATTTTTTATTTTGATATTTTCCTGAAAAATACTCGTCTGTTCCTGATCCCAATTCTTGCGTCTGATTATTGCATATTTAATGTAGTGGCGGGCTCGATCTTCTGTGCCAATCCGTAAAAGTCCATCAAGTTGATGTTACTCCTAAAGTTGAAGACGGGAAGGTAATCATTATCCGGCGGGCTCCATAGAACTTGTTTTCCTATCTCGAATATTTGATTTACTCTGCATCTTCAAATACCTGGGCAGTTAACATTGCGTGATCTGTTGTCTTGGGTTCGGATTAATTTGATCAAAGAAAGACCAGAAATGTTCATGAAAGGGGACTCCGTGTACGTAAATCCATCTTTAAGTTTTCCATTTCCTTTTCTTTTTTTAAATTATACCAATCTGTTTGTTATAGGAGGCCTGGTATTCTGGTTCTCGTTAATGATTGCGATTGGGAATTATGCGGTGGCCATGATACGGAGCTAGAAGAAAAAGATGTGGTGGTTTTCATTTCTACCTTACATGGTGGGTAATTTTTCAGAAGTGAGAATTAGTGTATGTTTGAATGTTAACAGTTCCTGATCAAAGCTTGATTAAAGCTTAAACATTTTAGTTCAGGAGATTAACCATATATGTAACTTGCCATCATCTGGTGTAAACTTGTTAAAAGAAATTAGTAAGTTAAACGTGCCAATTCATCTGCTCTACTGGTTCTTATATTTCTAATCAGTTTTATCTCTTTAATTTTTTGTTGGGATGGTAATTGTTTCCATTTATCTTGTTGCTTTCTGCAGGATTTACACCATAATTTTCAAGTGTAAGTGAAGTAAATGAAATTGAATTATCTTTTTTTTTGTTGTGTAGGAATCCACTGGCCTTTTTAGTGCCATAATGAATTCTCAGCCTTGAGCATTTTGTTTTTTTTAACTCGCAAACCAAATTTAACATAAATTCTTTGAATTTTCAGACCGGTGTACTTAATCCATATCATAGATCAAAGTTTGCAATTTAGTTTAAGAGTTTCTCTTATATTCTAATGGAAAAGAGAAACATATACTCATCTTTAAAAAGGTGATGGTGCTGATTATATTTGAATATGAATCCATATTTCTGCTAGTGTTATAATTTAGTTATTGCATATTTTCTGGGATTTGGGTAAATATGTTTGTTAATCTTGTTCTAGCAACTGCGTTATCTTGCACATCGATTTGTGCATCAATGGAGAACTAAGTCTTGATTTTGTTGCAAACTGTGGCTAATGTTTTATAGCCTGACAGTATGTTGTCCAACGAACCTATTAACAACTTGTTTTGATATAACCTTGGATTCTATGGCATTTAATAGGCTTAATTCCTCTAGTTTTTCTTTATATTTTCTTTATATGCTCAAGGTTCATAGGTTCAGAAACCAATTCAATCTAGAACTTACTGATTCCAGTCTACACTTTATTAGTATGTCTTGTGCGAGGCAGCACTAAGGTTGGGTTGAGGTCAATCTAAATCACGTTTGGGATTCTCACCTAATTAATTTTTTGGAGCAGTTCATACATATCATCTAAATTTGCATTGTTTACAAAACTAACTCCCTGATAGTTTTATTTTTTCAAATTCTCGCCCAAATATTGAAATTCAATGCAAAACTCGAAACCTTATTTTTTTGCTTTTTGTCAAATTCACAATGGTTTGATCTTGGCACATGCAAATATATCGACAGTTCAAAAATGACTTGAATTCTACTGTTATAAATAGTTAAGATTTGGGTTTTATGCATGTAATTCTTTCAGTAGCTCTTATTATTATTCAGGATTTGTACTAAAGCATTGATGAGGGTGATGGTTTCTCTCAAGCATTTGATGAGGGAGTGCATATTATAATAGAAAGGTTGGGGAGTGGTTTGTGGGTAGAAACTTGTGAGAAAGAAAATGAGATTCATTGGCGGTGAATGGGGATGATGGATGGTAAATGGGATTATTTGATGGGTCTATGCATAAAATTAAGTCTATATTAAGGCTATCTGATCAGGATTGTAGGATTCAAACTAATGCTTCTGATTGAACTCACGAAACATTTAATTTTAGTCAAAGTGATGTCTATTAAGCTAGCTGTTACGGTCAATCGGTGATGAACTCTATAGTGGAATCATTTTGGGTTATGGTTGAGGAAATCATGCATGACCTTCAATAAAATGTGCGTCACAGTTCCCTCACATCCCTTTTTTATGCAAATTTCTTCTAAATTTGTTGTTTTGGTCAACTTGATACTTATACAAAGCAAAATGTATGCTTGGGAATGAGCAATAAGACTGATCCAAAACTATACAAAACTAGTATTTGACTTATTTTAATCATAAATTTGATTGTTATGTTTGAGTGATGCAATATATTTCATTGAGCCCCAAAGTTCTCCAAGGTTGTTATGCTTGTATTAATTTTTATAAACTCAACCATTATCAACCAATTATAAATAATATCAGTGCATCATTTAAGTTCATTTGCTTTTGCCTGAAGTTATTAATATATTTCTGTTGGAAAAGGAGCACTTCAAGCAAGACATTATTTCATTAACTTGGTAGAAGCCTTCACATGATAAAATTTGGAACATAGTTAGTGAAGCGAAAGTTTTTCTAAACTTTTTGGGTGCACATACCATGGCTCGTCTATTTTTCAGACCATCATCTTCATCTTGATACGCTAATTGAGATCAAAGTTGGTAATTTTTGAAAATTGGTGCGGTCTTACTTGGCGTAGGACAATCAATTAGTTTTCATTTTACTTTTGGTATTGCAATTTTAAAACCTGGCTTAAGGCCACCATTCCTTACATTATACATGAAGCTCAAGTTGGTTTTATGATGAATAAATCTATAACTAACAATATCATATTAATTATTGAGGTGCTCCACACTTTAAGAACCTCTCTTTTTGCCTTTTGTGCCAAGTTTGATTTTAGTAAAGCTTTTGACTCCATTAGCTCGTAGTTCATTCTTCACATGATGCTAAAGAATATTTATTAAGGCCACAAATTCATGTGGAGAATTTAAAACCGGTGCGGTAGAATGGCTGATGAGGCGGTTTAAAATCTCTCTTCCCTCATTTTAATGAGATAAATATTTCACATCCCCCTCGTGATCTCGATTCCAGCAATTTTTCTCTAGCTGCTCTCTCTCTCAAAATCGTTCTTCGCTCTCCGCTCTTGTCGGATCACCCTCGCTGGACTGGTTTGCTCCTTGCCATGTCACACCCTCAAAATTGTCGCTCGATCCCAACTTCTTGTTGGATTGGGTGTCATCGTTGCTCAGTTTCGCAATTGCATCTCTTGCCCAAGTCCCCAGCTACGTACACAAACATATCTTTTCTATCCAGGTTGGAAGCACCTCAGGCAATTCACTTCACTTGGTTACTAACTAAACTCGTGGCTACTTTTTTTCACGTAAGCTTTCCAGAACGGACCATTGCCACCTCTTGTCGTTGAAACACCTTCATTAAGCTTCCCTGTCTTTTCCATTAATTTGACGGTAGATAATTCATCTTGCCTAGAGTTAATTATTTTCTCATCCCTTATATATGTTCATCATTATAAAGAAAATGAGCTTGACAAATAGTTAGCATTCAAGTATCAAGTTTTATTAGTATTAAATCAGATGGATTCCTTAAGTTATTTAAAAGGAAGAAAAGAGTGGAACGTGCAACCTACAGTTTTGCTTAAAAGAAGTTTTTAAGTTCAATTTTAAAGTATATTTGACCTAATTTACATGCAATTTTGCATGTGTGTTATTTTCCTCATGTGCGGTGCCATGTCAAGTCTTATGTGACCTAAATATTAACATTTTTTGTTTAAGTTTTCAAAACCCAAATTATAAAAATATGTATGTTTGCATGTTACTTGCTGATTTCAAAGGTCTAATACAACCTTTGATCATCTTATGTGAACTTTTTGCATAGAAATTCAAAGCTATAATGATCATAACTTATCATAATATTATGTTAGTCTATTTGCTTTATATTCTTATCGATCAAATATTGAAATTTATCCATAATATCATAATCTAAGCTTTTTTGGTAGTATATTCTAAATGCACTCACCCATTGATTTAAAAAAAAATATTACAATAATTAATGCACTCACTTATTTCTCGCATCACTTGCTTGTATCTATTTTCATGTGCATTAATTATTGTATTCATATGTATAAATTCCATGTATTTAGATTGATTTAAATCTTAATATAAATTTGATTTGTGTGTTACTTGTGATACTTATTGATTTGAATGAGTTGGGTTGTTCGTTCAAGTGTGTGTGCAAGATGAACGTATTAAAATTGATTAAACGTCTAATCATGTGAGACTTAACTATCCTGTTAAAATATATAAATTTTAGATTTTCTTAAAAGACTTATGATTTAGTCATTAGGCCCTTTTAAGCCCAATTCCCTTTAATCAGTTGTAGGCAAATTAAGTTATTTCTTTCCCTTGGCTTAGTTTTAGGTGATCTTAGATCCTGGTTAGTGATTTGTCTTAGATAATCCCATAAGACATTCTCATATAGCTGCTCTTACAGCCAAAATCAAATTTTGCCCTTGTCGGATTGCATCTCGTAGGGTCGACGGCCTCACCGGACAGGATTGCTCCTCGCCTAGGTCAACGCCAGTCATGCCTCACTTATGTCGAGGTTCTCACTCCGGAAATCAACCGACCTCTTTGAGTTTGTAGTTTTGCCTGTGGTATGTATCGATCCTCTTCCATATCTTTTTCAATTTTCTATGGCAATCAGCTTCGATCCCCTCAAGCAATATTAATAGAATTTAGTCATTTAGAGATTTTATTTTTCATTAAAAGCGCGAACATAGAGGAAAGTTTCTTTAATGTAAACACCAAATAGATAGTTCACAAAAAAAAAAAAAAAAAAAAAAAAAGAAACATTTATACTCTATAACCAGTCATGTTCTTCACATTTTGATTGTTTAAATTCATATTTTTTTATCTGATTTAGCCAATATATTATTAGTAGTGACTATAAGTACTAATTTTTCTGAACAAATGAATAAGAGTTGGATAAAAAAATCTAAATGAACTATTGAATATACAAAAAGGAGTTGATAGCTTCTTAATATTTGCAAGTAGAAACAGAAATGCGTTAAAAAAAATTTTATGTCCATATAAAGTATGCTTTAACAAACACTTCTACAGTGTCAAAGCTGTCAAATATCACTTGATATTTAAGGGATTTTTTATTGGATATGTTGTATGAAATTTACATGGGGAAGAGCATAATTAAAGGTGATAGCAATGAAACATTTAGTAGTGCTGTTGATCTTAAGCATGCTTTGGTTTTAATAGAACATTCTCTCACTGATGACATGACAAGATTACTTGGGGATATGTTTCATACCATTGTTGTTCAACCGAATTGAGAAGCTAGTTATGAAACTCATGCTACAGATAAACCAAAAGAAATTGATAAATTTTTTAGACTACTACAAGATGCAGGAGAAGAATTATATCGTTGGTATAAATCTTTCTTTAAGTTATCTTTCATACTTACGATGTTTTAAATATCTACATTATTGGACTGCAAAATTATTTGATATATTATTAGAGTTACTTGCCAATGCCTTCTCTGAAACAGTTTTGTTGTCAAAGAATATATATGAGGTGAAGGCAATTATGAAAGCATTTTACCTTGGGCATATAACAATAGATGCAAGTCTC